AGCCTGTGATGCTCTCATGCACGGGTTAACTTGGGTTAACTAAAGCCCCTTGACCTTGGGCTTCAGCTCTGCTTCTTGCCCCTGGCCCACTGAGGCTAGAGGGATCTCTTCACTAAGGCATCTTACTGGCAGCTGAGGCTGACAAGCCCAAGGTTGACAAATAAAATGGCATGGTCCTGATGTTGCCAAACCACATGGCAGGCCATTAATTCAAGTCCATTTTAAGTCCCAAGGTTGGCAGAGCATGGCAGGCTGCTGAACAATGACATGGCTACATGCAGGATCCAAGCATTCCATACGCTAGAGACTACCCCAAGGCTTCTGCGTTATACAGGAAGCAGACCACATCCCAAAGGCAGATTCTCAGCTGCTTGTGCTAGATCTCACCATGGAGTTGATTTCCAGTCTCACCATGGGAAATAACTACCAGCAGCTGCCCAGCCACTCAACCAGGCCCAGCCAAGGTGACATACAAATTTAACTACGACAAAGGAGACATCTTTGCTCTTCATTACTTGGAAGAGGTCTTTCACAGCAGATCTGCACAATGCAGTATGTTTTCTGATATCTTCACTGCTGCTTCTATTGCTCTTGATTGTAGAACCAAGTAATATGAAGTCCTTGACAACTTCAGTCCTTTCTCCATTTATTGTGGAGCTGTTCATTGGACCGGTTGTGAGGATTTTTGTTTTCTTTATATTGAGATGTCATCCATATTGCAGACTATATTCTTTAATCTTCATCAGTAAGTGCTTCATGTTATCCTCACTTTCAGCAAGCAAAGTTGTGTCATCTGCATATTGCAGATTGTTAATGAGTCTTCCTCCAATCCTGAAACCACATTCTTCTTCCTATAACCCAGCTTCTCAAATTATCTGCTCAGCACAGTTCAAGCCCACTAGCCATTCCTCAGAAGGAAGGTTGGGGAGTCTACTTGCCTAGTGATACCACCTTGGAAACCCAAGGAAGGGTCACTATGAGTCAAGTTCAACTCGATGGCACATAACAACAACAACAAACAGATTGAATAAATATGAAAGGATACAACCCTGATACACTCCCTTCCTGATTTTAAACCATGCAGTATCCCCTTGTTCTATTTGAATGACAGCTCCTGATCTGTGTACAGGTTCCTCAT